CTCTGTCCTTTTAGTGCAGTCACCAGGACTATCAAGCTTTTTTCCTGATAGCAGAATTTATGCCTATACTGATGACTATTTCTTGTTCAGCTGTCTGCAGTTGTCCACTTTCCATCTTATTGCCTACCTGGAATGGGCAAGTCTGTCTAGCTGCCTCTTCATCATTGCTGAAAGCTCCTGCAGATTAACTTTTGCAGAACCAATCACAAGGATGAATTAAAATGCTTTTGCTCACATCCCATGTGACTTTCTTATATCCAGCTTCCGTCTCTTCACTCACTTTCTCACCATGCCTTTGAGCCAAGGTATAGAAGTGTTAAGTGGTATTACTTGTTTAGTGATTCATACAAGAGCTGGTGTGAAATGGTTTCCTTTCTAACCTGTCACCTTAGAGAGGCTATGTAGTTGGATTTTATTGTTGCATAGGATTCCTCTGCTTTGTGGTCTTACCGTTGCTTGTGTTTACATTAGTAACTGTGTAAGTTACTTTGAAAATTTTGAAACTACCTTATCAGAAGCTATTTCTAAGTTTTCTCTGAGGTTTTTTTTGAGTCTTTGATCAATATAGTATCACAAAGTTCTGCCTCATAACTATACATAAATCAAGAGATATTCTACTGGTTGGTTCTGTTGGGCTGAGTATTATGCTGGAGCAGTACTCTCATCTAGTTTGTGCTACAGATTATTTCAGTGGTGTAATGAACAGAATGACACAAATGAGTAGACATGCAAATGAGTAGGGCTGCTAATGGAGAAATGCTGGTTTATGCTCTCTTAAAATAACAGTGAAAGCACACAAGCTAAGAAATCAGCATTGTTTAGCCTGTTAGTGCAAACTCACCAAGCATAATACGTGCTGTTCATGTGTGGATATCAGAGTAAACATAAAGCTCTCCTTGACACAACTATCCTTCCTACAAAGAAAATGAAAGAGTGAATAGTGCTTTGTTCTGACAAGCAAGGTTGTTGACTGAAGACATGCTCTATGGGGTTGTATCTACCTTTCTCCATAAAGAAGTGTGGGGTCTTCTAGCAGCCTATGTAACAGTTTTTGCATATGTTGTCTTCAACAGCCTCCACTACCTCTTGTTTTGAGAATGCATGAATTAATACTGTGCTTACATACAGGCTCATAAGATATTTGTCTATTTGAAGAAAAAAAATGAACCCTTCAAATACACACTCTAGTAAAGATAAAAATAAGTAAAGAGGAAGTAATTAAGAATTGCAGCTATTCAAAGTACAAATAACTGTACATTTAAATACTTTTTTGGAACTGTTAAAATTTTTTGCTGAGTTCTGTCTTTTAAAGCAAAATTCAGTATCTAGGTTATGTCAGGGCTATTGTCTTTCAGTAAGCCCTCAAATAATGTTTTTTTTTAAATCTTACTTTTAAGGTATTTAGCAACACTCAACACAAATGACTAACAGCTTATCCTTACTAAATGACTTTTACCTGTTGAGTTAAAGCAGGTGGTACAAATCCTCTGTAAAATACTGAGTATTTACATTTTTAAAAAGCGAAAAACTTTTTGACAAGCCCAGACTAAAGTTCTCATTTAGACCTTTGTATCTGGAAGATATAAAGGACATTGTACTCAGCAGAACAAGCAGAACCCCATGGCTATATGATATTATGAAAAAAAAATCTGCTTATGCAAATAGCAACATGTGATAATTGTCACATGCTTCCATTGCACTGTCTGTACCCAATAGGAAAAAGGGCAAGTACTGAATCCTAAAGCATGTTCTGAAAGTCTCTTGGTGTGTAACTCTTCAGGAGGATCTTCAGGAGCATGTTTAGTATCTCTTAGGATTTTATCAAGACCATTGTATCAGCAGTGACCCTTGACACTGGAAGCATCTCATGGTGCGGCTTCAGTGGCCTCTGAACAGTGGTAACCTGTTGGAGGAGGCAGATGTGCTTAATATTTGGTGTCTGGCCACTTCGATTCTGGGTGCTGATTTTTCTGTAGTCAATTTTGTGTGATAACAGCATTTAGAAGTAATATAGCTCAACAAAGGCAGGCATCTTTGCAGTGATTTTGGTGTGGCATCTATAATAGAAGTAAATTCTGAGTATAAAACCTATGTGAAATAACTTTTTCCTCAATGATGGGGATGCACAGGTATGAATCAAAACAAGTTGTAGAAAGGCCTTAGCCAGAAGTGCGATGCACTAAAGGTTTCTCCCTAGCATGTGCACAAGAGTGTTTGAAGGCTTTCCTGTTTTGTCACCTCATCCTTGATTCTGTCGCAGTGCTGCCAGGATCCAGCCTCAGCTTCCATTTTCAGCTGAATATGAGCAGTAGATTATGTTACGTACCAAAATACCTAGTTTATGGGGAAAATTAGTAGACCACCATGACTATTGTTCTGCTGGTCTTCGTCTTGCTGGCTCCTCTTTATTCTCTAAAGCTCGCATATAAAAATCTACTGTGTATATAACTGAAATTGTTCTACCAGAACTAATTGCATAAACCATATGGCTTTTTAACTCCTGATGTCTTTGGTCTTAAAAAAAAAAAAAGCCTAGCTGCTTCTCTGCTGGGTAAACCTTACTCATGGCTTACTTGAACTGCAGCTAATTAGAAACTGGGATTCAGTTAATGCTATCAACAGGGTTGAAGAGTACTTGGATTTAAAGTCTTAATTGTGCTTGGTGAATTAAAAGTAAGTTCATTGAAAGGTAGATGATTCCCATGCACTCTGTGTTAACAAAGGGAACCACTTAGTTTGCTGAACTGAACAACTTTTGTCTTTGGTTCTGCTTCCTTTCAGGACTGTAAAGAAAGAGCAGATTTTGTTTTCCAGCTTCACTTACTTGTTCCCCTCTTAATCTGAATATATTTTAAGACAGACTTACATTTCTTTAATAGGCATAGAGCCCTGTTTCCTGAGCTTAGTGATTTCTTAGGGTTTTGAATGCAGTAATTTCTGAGCTATTTTAATAATCCAAAGTATAATATTGTCTTTGAGGCTAATAGTAAAAAAACTGTAACTTTTTTAATGATAGTAGTGATTCTTCAGTAGTTCAGTGTTTTAAAACTTTTTTGGAGACTATTCACAGCTCAAATTCTATGTTAATGTGCAATTTTAATTTTGAAGTACAGTATTTAGTCTGGAAACTGATTTTTAAAAACTTACACTTTTTTATTTGGTGTAATGAGCTATATCTTTTTTCAGGTCAGTTAGATATATAAATAAAAGGGTAAGAACCCTAGTTTTTCAAACTAGATGTAAAAGAGTATTCAATACAGCTTAAAGTAATAAATGGTGAAAAAACTTGGTAAAGCGAAACTTGGTTTTGAGGCAAAATGGTGTAGCAGTTAGAAAACTGACTAGTACACTAAGGAGTACCTTGTGGAACACTTTTTAGTGAAGACAGATTGGTTATGCAAACTGGAATTACCTCAAATGTGAAAGGTGCTTTGCTTTTTTGAGAAGTGCTGCAATGCTCAGGGACACAGTGGAGTCTACACAGCAAGTATACTGAAGTCCTGTACACACAAGTAAGCTGTCCTGTTGGAGTTTTCCATCTGCAACCACGGCTCACAAGAAGCAAATAATCTGTCAGGTCATGCTGCTTTGCTGAGAGCCGTAGAGATCCAGATATATCATTTTACACACATCACTACAGTCTCTATAGGGCAGAATTTTGTGGACTGCTACTTTAATGCAGTGTACGAGATAAAGCTTGTCTGGACTTAAAAAGTAAGTTGGGAATTGCAGTTTTTCTTCATGTAATAAGCAGTGCATCAGACATACTTGCCTGTATACAATGGAGACCTTCAGAATTGTAGTTGTTAGCATTGGTTTTGTGTTGAGACCAGAGAGGGTGGCTTGCAAGCCTGCAGCTGATACAAAAGCCTCAATATTTTGCATAAAAAGAGATGATTAAAGGTGTTCATCAACTGTAGTTAGAAATAAAGACCAGACGTGAAGTCAGCTGACCACATGGACCTTGGTAGCAAACTGAAATGAAGACTAACTTACACTGTTTTAAAACAGGAAAAAGCTGTTTTAAGTATGTGTTTATAAACCCTGGATGCAGCAGCCTTCCAAAATCTGAGTCCTTGTTTTTTTATCAAGTTCAGGTTTACCTCATCTGCTAATCAGGGGCAAGAAGGATCTCTTGTATTTACACCAGTCTCAAGCTGTGTGTGGCTATTTGTGCCAGTATTGTGGTTATATTTAACATCTGGATTACTTGTAATCATCTGCAAATGGCCCATTAGCTTTTTTGGTATCCTCCTAGCACTGTTCAATTAAAATCCAACTGGGTTTGTGATAATGTCTTATTTAAAAGCAAACAACAATGTGCTTAGGGACAAAAATACCCTTATGAAGAACTCTCTTGCGTATTTTGCTCCAGTTATTCCACTTGAGAAATCTTTGACTCTGCTGCCACTTGTATGTCCAGTGGTACTCTTAAGCAGCAAGGAAACTTACTGAATCCCATCTGTCCCAGATTTTAATTGATTTGATTTTTAAAACCTAGGATTTTAAGAACAGACTGGATTCTAGCAAAGTAGTTTGTTGTCTTCATGTATTTTCTGTGGGCTGGGAAAGGCATGTAAGGGGAGCTGTTTTTCAGTGGTGCATGGTCATCTTACATGCTAATGGAAAAACGTATTTGCTGTGTTTTTCTTTCTTTCCTCTTCCTTCAGTCTTGAAAAAAAAAAAGTGTTTCGTGGTATAGTTCCTTTTAGGCATGGTGTGGTTCGGGAGGTAGTTTCCAGGGTAGATGTAGGGGTAACTAGACTGCATTATCTTTTAAATCTTCCTAAAAATAAGCATCTTATTTCATGTAAGAAAAATAACTTTAGAACTGAATTTGGAAAGATTAGATTGGAATTGCCTCAAATCCAATTAAGCCACACTGCATGGACGTGCTGGGAATATAAATGCAATTACTGTAAATTTGTACAAATTGATTTGTTGCATTATCTTGCTAATCTAACATACGGTACTTTTTGTGTCCATATTGCAGACGGCAACTCCAAACTAACATGGCAGTCAGACTGTGTGATGTGGCTTCTCTGCTTAGAAGTGGTTCGTGGGCAGCAGAGCCTTGGACTGGGGTCTGTGGGATTTTTCTTAAATTCTGTAGGCTACTTTTTTACATGTTAATAGTGCTGAGGCCATACCAAACTCTTTAATCTCCCATTTGGAATGTTAACTCTTTTCCATGTTCTGTTACAGGCTGTAGGTTGTGTTCCTATTCTGTGAGAGCCTAGAGCACACTGGCGTATCATGACAACTTTATATAAAATGGTGATCTTCTGTAGAAATTATACTGCAGTGGCTTGCCTTTCTTCCAATGTCAATTAGATTTTAGTACTAATTCAAAACACCCGGTGGATAATTGAAGAGTGGTATTGTACTAAACTGGTTTTGGTATGGTCTGAATACTAAATTGCCATAACTTTAAAAACCTGTATACTGTGTATTTGATTACTATTTTAAAAGTATATTTACAAGTCTTATTCTAAGAAATTGTTTGAAAACTAAATTTATCTCTTATGCTGTTTTTCTTGGTGGAAAATATTTAGTAACTGCTGAAGTGCTTTGTTTTATGAACAGTTGTATGCAACCTATCAATAGAATATGCATTATTTGTAAAACATATTAGTATCACTTTATTCAGAGCAGATGGTTCTATAGCTGAGAGATGCTGTAATTTCAGCACACACAGGCTACTGCAGCTGTTCACTTGAATGTTGGCTTAGGATCTCATTCTTGCCACCTGAACATGAAAGTAAATGTGCAATTAAGTGAGGATTGTTTGTTGTCCTTGCTAAATCCTGCTAATTTTGATCAATGAACAGTTCAAATTTGAGAAAAAAAGAAAAAGGGGAAAAAAAATCAATCTTAGAGAGCCTTAGTCAGAGCGTAGCATTTGTGGCTACTAACTCCGCCAGATACACTAGTGTTTTGAAAAGTATTTTATCGTAATTTTAATCATCTACTTTCTTATCTTTTTATCAGACTTGTTTCATCACAGTGTCAGGAGCAGGTTACCCCTTAGAGTTTGTCACGAGGGAAGAAAATGCTTTTCCAGTTGTAGCTCCTCAAAAAAAACTAGATTGCATTTTTATATTAAATGTTCTTAATAGATGCATCTTCCCTCTTTTGTGTTTTGCTGAACCAATCTCTTGCACAATACTTCCGCATGCAGAACATAGAGATGTGTCCCAGGAATGTGTGAATTGTAGTTTAAGACACTCAACTTACCCTCTTTCATGTTCTTAAGAAATTCAGATTTGCACTCCCTGAGTACAGTTGGCCTAATCAGCTGTTTGGGTATGCACTGATTGCTTATGCTGCTTTGAACAGGACAGTTAGGAGAGATAACCTCCAGAGGTCCTGACATTACACTCTGATTTTTGCAGTAGGCTTTTTTGTGTGAGAGTTGAGAAATGTAAGTATTAGATTGGGTTCAGTGATTTCTGGATTATTTTTTTTTAGTGAAACTTCTTGATGAGTCTTGCTTCTGTGTTGAAATGTTTATTATTGGAGAATTAACTTCTAGAGTTTTGTTGGATGTTGTCCTGTATAGTTGGTCTCAAGCAGGGTAGGCTGCCCAAGTCTTGGATATATTAGGCTGCCATTAAAAATTCACTGTATTTACAAACTATTACCATTCAGTGACTGACTGAGATGGCAGAGAGCCTTTTGTACACATGGTAGCTTGTGGGGAAGTACTGACACTTCTCCAAATGATTGCTGCTATATCTGCCAATCATACAGTCATCTACTTTGGGGTGAAAACCAGGAGTTCCTGAGTGGTGATCACTCCCTTATTTTGATGTCTAAAAGTAAATCAAGTTCAAGTTTTAAGTTTAACTGTTTTCAGGGTACAGGGGAGGGAAAAAATAAGCCAGGAATTGTCAGTTTAATCAAATAAAAGCATTTAGAAACATACTTCCTACCTGTGGTGACAGAAGGTTAACCTGGAGGTTATCAAGGAAGAGTTTGTTTTCCATCCCAGCACATGCATATAACTCTAAGTATCTCTTTAAATTACTAATCCTCCTTTCTGCTATTGGTTATGAGAAATAGGCTCAGGATACAGTTAACACCCACCTCTTTGAAAATAACCAAATACTATCACTTTAAAAGTTACAGTTCATATCATTTCAGTTATGTAAGTTAATAAAACTGATTACCCTTGCAACAGACCAGTTCTGTTTGGTAACTTCTGTGTTAGAAAGACTGGATGCCCCTAAATGGAGGGATTGTGGGAGGATGGAAACTCAGTTTGAATGTTGACTTCATTGAGAAAGCTCCTAGAAAATTTTAGTGACAACTTTACTTGCTGTTGTGTTTTTGAAGTATTACCTTGACTAACAGTTAAAATCCTTCTCTACTGGTGGGATTATTTTTGCATATAGAGGCAGTATATGGCCCTGGCAATACCATTTCTGCATAGTGACAGGTCTTTTAGATTCTTGTCTGGACACTCATAATAGATGATGAAAAGTGGATTTAGATGGTTCTTGTTTTCTGTGTTTTTCAGCAGGTAATTGCTGCCATGGAAACACAACTGTCTAATGGACCAACTTGCAATAACACAGCCCATGGTTCAACCACCATAAACAATTGCTCATCACCAGTTGATTCTGGGAACACAGAAGACAGCAAGACCAATTTAATAGTCAACTACCTTCCACAGAACATGACACAAGAGGAGCTGAAGAGTCTGTTTGGCAGCATTGGTGAGATAGAATCCTGCAAGCTTGTCAGGGACAAAATAACAGGTATGTTGGTTTTAGGATTTTCTGCATTTTTTTAATTTTCCAAGCAATGAGCTGTCAGATTCTCTTAAATCATGGAATAAATGCAGAAGAAACCAATGCTGATGTTGCTAGTCAAAAGGAACTTAAGTTCATCATTACATAAATTCTACACCCAAAAATTGCCTGTATTGCATTTCATCCAGGTTTGTATGAGTGCTATAAATGCTAAGAGGGCATTTAAATCTTCTGAGCTTTAGATCCTTTGGAAAGAAGATTCAGATCTTGGAAAGCCAGTATTTATACAAAGTTTACTTGAGTTTTTTTTTTAACTCCATTTGAGCAATGACTTCATTAGCCCCAGTTAATGCAAAACTTCCTGTTTCAGGGATGCTGATAATTAAACTTGTAGCTTGGGAAAAGGGTGGACTTTATTTATTCAGCTTTGTAGGG